GGCTTCCCCTAAGGCACACCCTGGGAGGCTGCGGATGGTGGCTCAAGTTCTCGGGTAGTGACCACCAACATGGGAGACTGCGGGAGCTCTGGCTTTTGGCCTCGGCCTGGTCCAGCCCTGACTTGCAGGCATTTGGGAAATGACAGTAGATGGAAGACCTCTACCCATCTCTCACACTGTCTGCCTTCCAAATGAAAACAAGTAGGGGCGTGAACAACACACAGGTGCCGGAACCTGTGTTAGCCCTGTCTAGGTGCAGAGCCAGCGAAGTGACCTGCGAGCTGACGGTGCCTGCGTGTGCCTGAGGGAGCGCCTGCCTGCCCCAGAGTCCCGGCAAGGGCGCTGTGTGCACGGGGGTCCCGTCTCCAGTCTGATCTGGCCAGCCTTTTTGTTGCCCATTTCTGAAAAGCAGGTTCTTTCACATCAACAGTGAGAGGTCCCCCATGCCTCTCCCCCAGCTCCCCAGCTTTCCCAGGGACAAAGAGCAATGAGTGTGCACGTCCCCTCTCCTGAGATTAGGGAAGACATTGTCCCAGCGTGGGGCCAGCACATTCCTGGGCCTAACGTCCAACCTAGAGCCACGGTGGCACAGTCCTCACCATGACCCCCCCCCCAGTCACATGTCCACTTCACTCTGGGAGGTCATCCATCTTTCTGTGCCCACCCCTGCTGTGTCACAGGCTGAGTCCTCGTCAGGGCGCTGGGTTCTGTGTGCTCGGCCCTGACCGCGTGTGCTTCTCTCAAACTGAGGGGACAAGCACATGACACAGGTGGCCACCTCCTTAGCACCGAGCATGGCTCCATTGCTCCAAAGTAGAAGCCCTACCCATAAGGACCTTCCTCTGTCCCCAGCCCCTACACAACCACTGCCCTTCTGTCTCTGTCACACACCTGGGTGCCTGGCCTTTGTGTCTGGTGTCTTCCTCTGGACGAGCACCACGTAGTGACGTGCGTCAGGGTATCACTCCTCTGTGTGTGGATGAGCTTTTCCGTTCTCCCGCAGGTAGACTTGGGCTGACCCCGTCTCGGGTCCTTGGGAACGTGTGTCTGGGCACCTGCGTCCCCTGTGGAGACAGCTGGGGTGGAGCTGCTGTGTGTGCACTTCCCCGTGGCAGGCGGAGTCCCAGCTCCTCCATACCCTCCCCGGCACTTCTCCCCTCTCTAGTGGCTGCCCTTTGGGTGGCAGTGGTACCTGCTGGGCCAGTCTGAAGCCAGGAGCCTGGAACTTTTATGTATTTAAAATGCAGAGTTACAGAGAGGCAGAGACAGTGGTGGAGAGAGAGAGCCCTTCCCTCTGCTGGTTCACTCCCCAGATGGCCGCAACGGCTGGAGCTGGGCCGATCCAAAACCAGGAGCCAGGAGCTTCTTCCGGGTCTCCGACGTGGGTGCAGGGGCTCAAGGACTTGGGCCATCTTCCACTGCTTTCCCGGGCCATAGCAAAGAGCTGGATTGGAAGTGGAGCAGCCGGTACTAGAACCGGCGCCCGTATGGGATGCGGCACTGCAGGCGGTGGCTTTACCCTCTACGCCACAGCGCCGGCCCCTCGAGGGTTTTCATCTAACAGCTTAGATGCGTTAGCTTCTATATGTAGCCCTCTGATACATGTCGAGTTCATGTTTGTTTGTGGCACGAGGTAGGATCCCAGCTTCGTTCTGTGTGTGGACGTCCAGCACCACGTGTTTAAGTCTGCTCTCTCCATTGGATGGTGCTGGACCCTTTGCTGCCTGCAGGCACTCGCGTCTGGACGCAGGCTCGCTCATCTCAGCACTGGTGGGCTGCTCTGAGCTCCCCTGTGGAGGCTCTCTGACCTCCTTGGTTAAGTCCATTCCTAGATGTGACTCTTCTGGACGTTGTAGACAATTCCTTCTCAGGCTGTTCACTGGTGACCTGTGGTGACCTTGAAGCTACACTGCTGACTCAAGCAGGCTTTGGCAGATGGGTGTTTTCTGTGTGTGTGTTCAGGTTTCCTTCCTGTTGGCCTGGTTGCTCTGGCCAGACTGGGGAGAGCAGCGTCCTTGTCTTGTTCCTGAGCGAGGATGAAAAGCTTTGTGTTCACGTGACTGCTGGGACGGGGCTGTGGGCTTCTCAGGAGTGCTGTCTGTCGTGGGTCCTGACCCTGACTGGGGACTGGGTGGCTGTGTGTGGCCGTCTCATGTCCTCCACGTGAGCAGCTCGCTTGGAGAGGAGGAGACAGTGCCCACACCTGTCCCCGGACGGACAGCAGCACCTAGATGGGCAGGCGGCTCTCACATGTCCCCTCTTGTTTACAGCCCGACTCGGATTCCACCAAACACTCAACCCCGTCAAACAGCTCCAACCCCAGTGGCCCGCCAAGCCCCAACTCCCCCCACCGGAGCCAGCTTCCCCTCGCAGGCCTGGAGCAGCCACCTTGCGATGCCTGAGGCTGCCAGCCCTCCACCGCTGCCACTGGGCCAGGGAGTCTGGACGGCCCCCAACGTCAGTGCCAAGACTGAGCGGACCCTCCAGTGTTCAAAGAAATGTAGACACGGAGATGGAGGAAACCTTTATTGTAACAGTGGTCAGTTTTATGCTGTGTTGTTCATGGCAGCAGACCAGATCACTTGTCAGCACAGCCGTGAGGTGACACTGTTCGTTTGCACATGAAGGACCACACACCCCTCCCTCCCGCACCCTCCCCGAAAGGCGCACGGGCCGAGGACGCCGGCCACAGCAGAAGCCCTCACAGGAGGCGCTGATCTGTCAGCTCTCCCCTGGACGTCCTGAGCACCGCAGCAGAGAGGCGGGGAGGGTCACCCAGTCACCAGGAGTTTGAAGATGGGGGGGGGGGGGGCGGATGCAGGTTAATCTGGCCTTTTTCCTCATGTCACTGCATAGTCAGCTGTGGATGTCCTTGCTGACCACCTGGTTATGGGGAGGCCTGGGACCAGTGACACGGCATCCCCGCATGCTAGTTCACACTGGGCCACAGCCACAAGGTAGCACCAGCACCTGCTGACGTCAGCTGGGTCCTCTGTCTGCACCTGCTGGACTGAGGGGAGGCCTGGGGACACCTGCCCCGCCCCCGCATGGCACCCACCGCCAGATACACTCCTGCTTCCGGCCCCAGCCTGCGGCGCGCATTAATCGCGCTGCTTCCTGTAGCCAGTGTTGAGTGATCAAGTGTGTGGCCCTGTCTCTTTAAAGGCTTGTGACTGACTGGCAGCAGACACAGCCTGTGCTCCCGCCCTCCACGTCTGTGGGGGCGGTGCTGAGTGCTGTGGCTGCCACGTCACACACCAGCACCTGCCCGCTCCTCCTGGGCCTTCTGCTGGGGCGGGCACCTGCTGGGGGTCTGGTTTTTAATTTTTTAATGTAAGTCTGAGTCTTTGTAATTATTGAATCGTGAGAACATTTTTGAACAATTTACCTGTCAATAAAGCAGAGACGGCAGTTTTAAAGTTCTCAGTGGTCGCCTGTGCTGAGGCTGCGCCCCGTGTCCGGGCTCCTAGAATTCCTTCCCAGAAGCCAGCTGGCCTGCCCAAGCTGTCCTGGGTCACGTGCACTGAAGTCAGAAGCCACACACAAAGTCACTCGCAGTCCTGGGGCAGAGCTGGTCCCCATAACTGGAGCTTCCACCTGCTCAGACCCAGGTTGGGGGTGTCCAGGGGGACACCTGCCAGGGCTGACTGGCCAGCTGCTTCTGCCAGGCCTCCAGGTCCCACTGTGAGACTCAGGCAGGGGTCAATGAGAGACGCCATGGGTCAGGGTAGGGGGGGACTGTCCCATGCACTCCTACCCCCTCAGCAGCCTGACGGGCAGGCCAGAGTGCACGGAGAGGAGCCAAGGGGTGGGGGTGGGGCTCTGGCCTGATGGGTCAAGGTAGCCTTGGATTTGCCATTCACGGAAGGTTCCGGCTAACCAGCGCCCCTAAGAAGACAGCGGCACCGCCACAGAGGTGCACAGAAGCAGGAGTGCTGGCCGGGGCCGCAGCTGAGCACGTGGTCCCCCATGGAACAGTTTCTGCCCCCACAGCCCATGCTGGCCAGCACGCTCCCTAGCCCCTGGGCCGAGGCCATCTGAGGCTCCGTGATCCTAGCCCAGAAGGAACATGGCACAGCTCCCAAAGCTCTGCCCAGGAGCTCCCGTGAGCCCGCTTACTCCCACAGCTGCCCTTCCAGGGGCCACACGGCCCTTCAGGGGACAGAGAACAGTCCCTGAGTGGTGGGGAGCAGCACTGACCCTGCGCAGACGAGGCAGCCGCGGCTGCAGTTCGCGCGCATTGGCGAGTGCCCAGTGCGCAGTGGTGAGGGGCCAGCGACACCTGACGCCAACACAGCCTTGCCTGCTGCAGGACGCACGCAGTGGTTCACCACGAGACGGCTGGCCACCACACGCTACGGTGAGCGCCACAGACGTGGACCACGAAGACCAGGAAGCCAACCATGGGCCCAGCCCTGGGAACGCAGACAAGTACTGCGGGACCTTCTCTTCCCCAAGAGACCGAGCGACTGGGCGCCAGGATTCTCGGGCACACGGAGCAGGCCCCTCTCACGCCGTCCCGTAGTCCGAGGGAAAGGCACCTCTGAGCCCCCCAGGGGCGCCGACCCGTCAGCCTGGGCCGGGCCCCAGCTCTGCTGGTCTGCTTGCGGGGGCGGCAGCTGCTGACTTGCGTTCTGGGCCCTGGCCTCGCGTTGGGGAGACCTGGATGTAGCCCTGGCTTCAGCCTGGCCAGCGTCGGGCTGTTGTGGGCGTCTGGGGAATGAAGCACTGGCTGGGAGATCTGTCTGCTTTTCAAATAAACAGAATAAAAACTTTAAAACAAGGCAAACGTGAAGGCTACATGTGTACATGTGAGGGAACATGTGTAGTTCTGGGTTCTTCCCTCTGCTTGTGTTGACTCCGCTTTTTCATTTAG